CCTTCTTAAGATGCAGAGACTCTCTAGTAACTCCGCCGCTAGTATGGAGTCGGCGTAACGCTTCAGTTCGGCGGCTTACACCACACTTATACCATGCTAACCTCACTTCTCTTTGGCAATTAATGGAAGTTCGTCAACTTGACGACGTCAAGTCATGCGCCGGCGTGCGGTTTGTCGGTTATGTCTTTCAAGATCGGAAAGCCTTTGAAGTGGTGGGAAGTCCTTACCTGTTCAGCTAGAGTTTCTGACCTCGTCTGCTTTTCTTGATGGTTTTAACGAATCGTCCTATCTCCTGGAGGATGGTTGGTTGATGCAATCTCCACAACCGGTTGATGTTCATAGCGATGGGTTCGGAGTTATCAACTAACTTCGGCCTCAAATGATCCTTTTATTGTTGCGTTATTGCGAGATATAAAATAACTAACGGAAGGAAGCATTGTGAAGGTGTATGTAGATATTCGAAGGTATGAAACCGAGTGAGTCGTATCTTAGTAACCAACATAAAACTACCCTTTATGCTGACACTCACTCGAGGGATGGTCAAACGTTATTCACACACCGGCAAACGGAGACAGCCACATCCTACATTGTGATACCTAGTCGCAGCTGAAAGTCACCTATAGCGGGACGGAGTTCGACGGCTGCGACGCTAGGCTTAGCGCGGTGCTTCCAGCAACTTGATCGTAGAACACTATCAGTTGTATGATAATGATAACACATCACATCATATCGTATCATATTGTCTTTTGCAGTTTCTATTTTTATAAGGTCACTAATATGGACTCACCGACTACAAGTGTTGTTTCCTCATTTCTCGAGGCTGCTTATCAGGGCGATATGAATCGCATGAAGGAGCTTATGGCCAGCAACTCCGGTCTATCTGTTAATGTTCAAGACTATGATAAGAGAACTCCTCTTCATTTAGCTGCTGCTGGTGGTCACATGGATGCTGTCCAATATTTGTTGGGTGAGGGGGCTCAGCTCAAGACTGATCGCTTCGGTATGCTTCCTATCCACGATGCTGTGGTGAACCATCATAG